TATTTTTAGAACAAATTTGGCCCGAATTTTAAATACCTTATAAGTCCCACAAACCAGACCGCAAAACCTACAGACTTGAAAATGGACTCCTACGCAAGCTATTAAACAAGGTGAATTGATTCCCAGCAAGCCATAAGGTGAATGTTATCCACATTCACGGGATAACTCCAAAGGAAGAGTGGATGAAGCAATTCGAGTTAATCACCCATTAACCTGCGATCAGGTGTTCTTAATTTTCATTTTCGCCTCTTAAAGAGAAAGAGAAGAAGGACCGCCTGATCGCAGGTTAATATCCCATTCTCCACCCCTTCACTCCGCAAAAAGAAATGAAGACCCAGAAGTGAACAAACAAAATTTAATAAACAGAAGTAATATTGGAGCAAGTAGCTGATAATGTTTGTGTTTTGTATAGGAAGTGTGCGTTTATTTACTGAGTCGTTTGTTTCTTGTCTTTTACATTATTATCCGTCGTTGTGGAGACAAGGCAACTACTAGTGCGAGTCCCTCCCGAGTACTGGATTTTCAAGATGGCGTCGCTTTGTTATTTTCTAGTTTTATTACATGGTTCAGCACTTATTGCCATTTCAGTATGTAACAGTGGCAGTATTTCGGGCTTTTTGATATTTCCTTTACCTGCTGACCATAGCTGAAAAGGATGAAGAGGACTTAAAACAAGCACGAAAGGATCTGCCTATTTTCAAGAAAAAAGGTTGGCAACTATGACAAATGTGAGTTTTCTAATTTCTTCCTGTTCCAACAAGCCAAAATGATTATTAGTGTTTTGGTAACAGGGATGATAGTAGACTGCAATTTGGCTGTCAGATTTTTATTATCCTTTTAGTTGTGCGTTACAGATCAATTCAAAAACGACTGATTTTTGGTTCGTTTGCAGACACTGAGTTTAGGTCAGGAAAAATAAGAAAGTTTTGGTCTTGCCTGTAGCTACCTAACAACGTTTATGATTTTCGAAGATAGCCTTATGTTGTGTTGTGTCGCACACAAAAAATGAACTTCGCTTGTTTAATTTTGAGGAGTTTGTGAGCTTCCGAAAATGGTCAAAATTTGCTTACAAAAATGGCGTCCGAGGGGGTCAAAGAAAGTGATGCTCGTATCTCTAATAGAAGAGCAATGAAGAACGTATGTTTATTATTTTTGTCCATTACTCCACCTAACCTATCTATGATGTTAGTATGAGCTTTTTCTGTTGACCCCTTTCCGTTGACATTTTTTAACATTTTGCCCGGTTTTCTTAAACAACCACTCTTAAACATACGCTGATATGTCAATCGTTTTAATACCTACAAGAAAAAATTATATTTTCTAAGAGCACGACCATTCTTTATTAAGGAAGCTAAAAATCATGGGAATCGGTTAAACAATTCTTGCCGAAAAACGCTCGTCAAAAACATAACCAACGTGCCTATAAATAGGTTCGGGCCACCTTAAAATCTTGAAGTCAGACAAAATCTTGAGTTCATAATTTTAGCTTTCAAAAATCTTAAAGACAGCCAGAATCTTGTATTCAGGATTTTGGCTTTCCAAAATATTGAATTCAGCCTAGATCTTCAATTCAAGGAATTTGGACAATCAAAATCTTGAAGTGCAGCCAAATCTTGATTCCAGGATTTTGGCTCTTCAAAATATTGAAATCACATAAAAACTTCACTTTAGGATTTTGATTCTTCAAAATCTTGAAGTTAGCCAAAATATTGAATTCAGGAGTTTGGCTGTCCAGAATCTTGAAGTCAGTTAAAACGTTGAATACAGGATTTTGACCTTTCAAAATCTTGAATTGAGGATTTTGACTTTCGTAAATCTTGAATTCAGGAGCTTGGTCTTTCAAAATCTTGAATTTAGGATTTTGGCTTTCCAAAATCTTAAATTTAGCCAAACTCTTGAATTCAAGAGTTTGGTCAACAGAAATCTTAAAATCACGCAAAATGTTGAGTTTAGGATTTTGGCCCTTCAAACTATTGAGATCTTGAATTCAGGATTCGGAAAACTAAAATCTTGAAGTTAGCCAAAATCTTGAATTCATGATTTTGGAAAGCTAAAATCTTGAAAACCGCTATAATCGTCAGTTTAGGATTTTGAGACGTTTAAGGTCACCCAAAATCGTAAACTCAGGATATTGGAAAGCTAAAATCTTTAGGTCACTCAAAATCTTAAACTCAGGATTTTGAACAGCTAAAATCTGAAAGTCAGCCAAAATCTTCAATTCAGGATTTTGGAAAGCTAAAATCTTGAGGTCAGCAAAAATCTTGAATTCAGGATATTGGAAAGCTGAAATCCTGAAGTCAGCAATCATATTGAATTCATGATTTAAGCAAGATAAAGTTTTGAACTCAGGATTTTCGAAAGCTAAAATCGTGAAGATGTTGTCACTGTAGTCCCTGTTGTCAGCATGGTCGCTGTTGTCACTGTCGTCGCTTTTGTCACTGTTGTCGCTATTGAAACTGTTGTCACTGTTGTCACAATTGTCGCTGTTGTCAGCGCCGTCACTGTTCTCACTGTTGTCAGCGTTGTCGCTGTAGTCGCTGTTGTCACTGTTGTCTCAGTTGTCACTGTTGTCGGTGTTCTCAGCATTGTCGCTGTTGTCACTGTTGTCAGCGTTGTCGAAGTTGTTGCTTTTGTCGCTGTTGTCAGCGTTGTGAGCGTTCTCGCTTTTCTCACTGTTGTTGCAGTTGTCAGTGTTATCGCTGGTGTCAGTGTTGCCACCGTGGTCGGAGATGTCGTTGTTGTCACTGTTGTCACTGTTGTAGAAGTCACAAGTGTAATAAATGGACCCAAGCGTAATAAAGGTCCCATCTGTAATAACTTTTGGACCCAAGCGTAATAAAGGTCCCATCTGTAATAATATTTGGACCCAAGCGTAATAAAAGTCTCATCTGTAATAACATTTGGACCCAAGCGTAATAAAGGTCACCTGATTTTATCGTCCTCGTGTTCTTGGGTCCCACATTACCAGCTGTCAAACTGAATTTTCAAAACATAGTAGTGAGGCAGTAGAAAAGTATTAGCTAAACGGCGCTGGCTATTGAAAAATAAGGCTGTTTGCACTTCCAATCATTAATTTAAGTGTAACCAAAGTGCTCAGTACTGTTTCACTGTCCTGTTATGGAAGTGATTGGTGTAGAGCTAATGGTGCAAAAAGCTTTAGCTTACCCAGCAACGTACTTTTGATTGGTTTATAGCCAACGGTGCGAAATAAAAATGGGTTTGCTCAGCAACGCACTTTTGATTGGTGCAGAAGGAAAAAGGTATTTCAGTTATTTTACATACGGATCTGTAGATCATCTAAGACCATTATATTTTCACATGAAAAAACAAACTTTAGGTAACTATAGATTATCTTAGGTCGGTTTTAATAGGTTATTTAAGGCCATTGCTTCTTTATAAGTGACAATGGTAGTCTTTACACTAGAGCCTAAATAAGCGAAGAAATATTTCAAGACAACTAAATTTTAAATTCTTCAAGTAAAAGAAAGCTTCACACACTACCAATCTTTTTTACTTCAGGTCTACTTAAGCCTATTTTCCCACGCAACGTAATTAAGATTGATTGACATGCTTCGCCTTTCTCAAAGCATAGAAACCGCAAGTTCGCTAAATCGGTTTTAAGGCTGGTTTTCAAGTCACCTGAAACTTTCTTGAATCGTTTCAACTTTCCGACTTTAATAAAATGCAAAGTAAAGTTACTTGAGATTTTAGTTAGGCCTTCACACACGCCTTTTTGGCTAAGTAAAACTTAGCAGCTCTTAAGTTAACAGCCTAGTGTAAAGACAACCAGCCTTAACAGCCTAGTGTAAAGACAACCATTTTCTGTGAAAACATGTTGGAATTTGGCTCGTCTAGACATTTGTCTAGACACTATCTAAGTCATAACCGGTCTAAGTCATAACCAGGTGATAAAAGTTCCTATCACCTTTGACTTCAGAGTGGTTAAAGATGAACGCATTCAACGTGCTTTATATCGCTGCATTAGCATTTTTGCTTCTACCTTACAACTGTATTTCAAAGAAACGTAATCAAGAGCGTGGTAAGAGATCTCACACGGTGATACCGGACGACATTTACAACGCCCTTATTGATATCATTCAAGGAGAACGGTTACCGCCTGTCAAAGACAGAACCAAATCTCAGCTCAGAAAGCAGCAGTCGTTCGCTACTGGCGGTCTAAAGGGGAAGTAACAGCAGCAGAAGAAAATGGTGAAAAAGTTTTGTATTACAAAGGCCGAAGGATGCTAAGAAAGTCTGAAGTAGGTAAAGTTATAGCTAAAGAATTCGATCGTACAAAGGGATCTGGAGCGGCAAAGCTCGCAGCTTCTTTAAAGGAAAACTATGTTGGTCTCAGTCGCAAAAAAGTACAAGACATTTTAAATACAGACAAATCGCACTACAGGAGAAACGCAAAATTCAGTAATAAAGCGAAACTGAAACCCATTCGTGCTAAAGATGTACAGATAAGACACCAAATCGATTTGATGGACATGGGGAAGAGGGGAACTTGCAAGCTACATGGTGTGACTTACAGATATGTTTTGTCTGTAATTGACGTGTTTAGCAGATTTATTTGGCTTCGTCCGATTGATAAAAAATTCAGTAAAACCATAGCCAAAGAACTGCAAAGCATCTACTTGGAGCATGGATATCCAAGAGTTATTCAGTGTGATCAAGGACCTGAATTTGAAGGTGCGATGAAAAAACTTTGTCGTCGGTTGAAGGTAAAGATCATTTGTAGCCGCCCTTATCACCCACAGTCTCAGGGAAAGGTAGAGCGAAGTCACAGGTCCTTGAGGGCAAAAATGGAGTATGACATATTAAAAATGGGAAAGAAAGGTGTGAACTGGGCAAATAATATTCAGGAATACCAACATATTTTAAATAACGATCCAAAATAGGTGTTGGGCTATAAAACTCCTTTTGAGATTTACTTTGCACGTAAATGTCATTCAAAACAATCGGCCATAGAAGAAGTCGACGTTGCTGCCAAAGCGAGTATGTACGAACCGACCGATAAGGATAGGAGAGAACGTCGCAAAAATGCTTCAGTTGTACGGCAACAAGCATCGGATGCTTCAAAACGATGTTGTGAACGGATGATAAGATGTCATGGAAGATCTCACCCCCCTTCACGATATAACGTTGGTGAAAAGGTGTACGTGAGGTTACCTGGAAAAGATAATTTAAAGAATAGAAAGCGCCAAGTTTTTGAGGCTATTATTGTTAAACGAAACCTAAATGTCCATTCATATAAAGTTAATTACATTTCCTCAGTTACTGGGAAAAGGGTAACGAAATGGATACCCGTGGATGACATAACCAGCCTCACCCTAAAAGAGGAAAAACGAAAGCAGAGACTCGCCAGACTATCCAGAAAAAGAAAATTATCTCACAAGAAAAAATATCATATAGTTATGGAGAAAGATGATTACCAAATCGTCATTGAAGACCAAGGCTTCGAAATCGTTTTCAATCCACCTGGTGATGGCAACTGCCAGTTTGGTGCGTTAGCACATCAATTGAGTCTAGTGGGCATTTATAGATCCCCTGAAACCATGCGGGAAGAAATTGTCAGGTACCTGGAAACTAATGCGGTAGATAAGGATGGATTTCCACTTTGGAAATGATTCCCGATAATGAGTTCTCATCCTGGAACGACTATGTCGAGTATATGGCAAGAAATCACACCTACGGAGATCAGATAACGCTCTTTGCAGCCGCGAACATCTTCAATATTGACGTACATATTGTCTCGACGCTTGGAATTGGGGCACAGCATGTCTTCCATCCATCATCAAATAGTCCATTGGGCTCTATATATCTTGGCCATTTCGCTGAAAACCATGGGGAGCATTATGTGAGTCTCGCACCAAGTTTACACGATACTGAAGATCGTGATAACCTTGTTGATTCCCAATCATTAGACCTTGGCCTTGACAGTAACACGGCTAGACCTACAGAAACTGATGATTGCCGTGGTGATACTGATAAAACGACCAGACTTACTGAAGTTGACTCCAGTGGCAACAATAACGGCGAAGGGCCTAAAGGTATCGACCTGAATGAAGTCAATGACCATAATGATGATATCAATGACAGGTCATCTGGAACATACTCTAACGATAATGAAAACACGACAGCAATAACTGATGTTGGTGTTGATGAAACCACAGATCGGCTTACTGAAACTGGTACTCCCTCTATCAATGATGATTGTAATACTTGCACGCATTGCCTACTGGAACAGGTTTCAATGACGGTTATAAACCCGCAAGTCCTACCCGAATTCATTCCAATGATTTTGATGATAGCGGTAGGGAAATTGAACATGCTGGACTTGATACTGGTAACAATATAAATGGAGGTGGTGATCATGATGACTGTATTATCAGTGACAACTACGCCGATGTTCAACCGTTTCTCAACTACATTGTCCTTGAAATGATAATTAAGACTGCTTTGTCAGCTTTTCCATTCATGAGAACTTCAATGAGAGCTGTTAGCAGATTTTTTAAGTCAACAGTGGATAAGGTACCTTGTGCAAGGGTGTACATACCTGAACTAGAGGCAAAAACAAAGGTCATCAGCGTGCAAAAAATAATTAGGCTAAGAGGCGCAGGCAGTGGTGCTGTTGCAGCAGTTCGGGAGGCAGTCAAGTCTAGTCAATGGAACCACGCCTGGCTCAAACTAGAGCCGCAACCAAACGGTTGGTTTTGTATAACTGGTATTTACTGGAGGAAAAAATAAATTTAATACGGCAAAAAATATTTCAAAAAACTGTTAGACTGATGTATGCCTCTTACTGGCAAATGAATGCACGCTCTGGCTATAGAGTGAACAAGAAATTTAAAACCTGCACAAAGCAGAGTATGAAAAAAATCAAGTTCATTCAGACAAAAGCCGCAACAAATTGCATTCATTACTGTCTGGTTAAGTCCGACTAAGTCTCTAGGCCTTTTTCATATTCAAAATGAGTGCTCCTAATCGCAAAAAGTAGTAGTAGAAGAGCTCAGTAAAACAACTGTGTAAAACTTATAAAATGGTCACTGAGAGCTAGGGATAGAAATCCGTAATTAAAATCATGTTTTATACGGCTTTAAGACTCCTCAAACAGCCAATAACATTCCAGAATTTTACCGAGAGCACAAAATTTGAATACTGTTAAGTAGTAACAGCTGGAGTTGCTTAATATTGGGTTTTACTCGAGCGTTTTGATACCTACAGAATTATTAGTTACTAGACAGCTCCTTAGTTTATGTTATGTCAAAAGAACTTTTCCATAGTCCTATGAAAAAGGTACCAAGTCGACAAAATATAGTGATTTGTGCAACAAACCTTGTTTAATTGATCTCTGCTCGTTGGAACGGAATGCAGCAAAAGTCTGATATTTCGTTCATATTAGGGCTTGAGATATTTATCGTTGACATTATTTTAGTTTTCTGGAACAAAAGTGTGGTGGCTCTAACTTTAGAGTAGCTAGACGAAATCCTTAAGTGAACTACTTAACTCCTTGCCATGCATATCACTTTGTGTTTTACGTTGTTGTATTTTTAATGCCTCTCTCTCTTCTTGAGTTGTTTTGATATTCTCGTCAATGTTGGGTAGATTAACTGCTTTTTTCAAGACACACAACTTAAACGGAATCAAAACTGTTGTTAAGTCAAGGTCTAAAATAAAGTTGTGAATTATTTGTTCTGAATCATACGCCCCACTCTAGAGTATGCAACGATTTGATTTCTTTTGAATGTAACAGTTCCTGTTACGTTCTGCCTGTTCTGTTCCGTGCCATGAATTGCTTACTTATTGATTGGCTCCGATGTTTTATGGCCAGTGAGGGTGAGTCTAATGTTAAAACAATGAAGATATTAATGAAATTGAGATTTTATCGAGTGACCCCTGACATTGTACATGGTATTTCAAAACTCATTAATAATTCATAAAGGAAAAACAAAAGAAATTAGTGTTTAATGAGTGTCTTTATACCTGATAAAGACACGGCTAGACTTTCTTTCCAATTTTGTAGAGCAAAGTAAGCCCAAGTCTAGATATTAGAGCAAGAATGAGTTGATCTACATCGGAGATTTTTAGACCATTCAAAAAACGAGCAGGAGTGTACTGTCAGGTTAAAAAACTCGAGGCGAAGCGTAATACTTATACCTCACCTTTTGAGGGAGTTATGTTACTAAATGTGGCCAAATTCAGCCGTGAGTGAAAAGATGCGAAAATGACCGAAATGAATACAGAGGGGGGGAAAGGAACACAATTCCACTGTACTGAAAACTGTTTAACCTATCAGTTTATCAAAGCGAACGGAACGGGAAAGATGCGACATATTTGCTTGTTCTGAAACTCTGACCTTTTTTTTAAAGCATGTTCAGTCGTGGTCAGTAATTGCATAAACTAGCCCGAGGGCCACGACAAGAGTTGTTGGCCTATACTTTTCCATTCAAATAGCTTGGTCACGTGACCTGTGACGTCAGCCATATAATTTAAGGTCAAAGATTATAGATGTACTATTGTGGACATGTCTCATATTATGTAAGTTCATTACAGATGTGAACTTCATTACGCTGGTGTCCAAATGTTACTACAGATGGGACTTTTATTACGCTTGGGTCCAAATGTTATTACAGATGGGACCTTTATTACGCTTGGGTCCAAAAGTTATTACAGATGGGACCTTTATTACGCTTGGGTCCATTTATTACACTTGTGCCTTCTACACTGTTATCACTGTTGCCGCTGTTGTCTTTGTTGTCAGCGTTGTCGCTGTCCTTGCTGTTGTCACTGTTGTCGCTGTTATCAGCGTTGTTGCTGTTGTCACTGTTGTTGCTGCTGTCACTTTGTCGCTGTTGTCACTGTTATTAGTGTTTTTACTGTTGTCATCATTGTCGTTGTTGTCGTTGTTGTCACTGTTGTCATTGTTGTCACTGTTGTCGCTGTTGTCACTGTTGTCACTGTTGTCACTGTTGTCATTGTTGTCACTGTTGTAACTGTTGTCGCCGTTGTCAGTGTTGTCACCTTTGTCGATGTTGTCGCTGTTGTCAGGGTTGTCGCTGTTGTTATTGTTGTCGCTGTTGTCACTGTTGTCGCTGTTGTCAGCCTTGTCGCTGTTGTCACTGTTGTCGCTGTTGCCAAAGTTGTTTCTTTTGTCAGCGTTGTCACTGTTCTCACTGTTCTTGCTGATGTCGTCACTTTTGTCGCTGTTTTCTCCGCTATCAGCGTTGTAACTGTTGTCGCAGTTGTCACTGTTGTTACTGTTGTCGCTGTTGTCACTGATGTCATAGTTGTTGCTGTTGTCACTGTTGTTACTGTTGTCGCTGTTGTCAGCATTGTCGCTGTTGTTCCTGTTGTCGCGGTTGTCACTGTTGTTGCTCAACCCTAACAGAGTTACTTAACAACCGGCAACAGACTTACATGTATTCCATATACAGCTGATTATAATAACGTTTTCGGTTGAAAAGTATAAACACAGGCAGCCCAGATATAGTATGGGTCAATAATATGGACAAAATGGGATGAGTCATCGAATCTCCCATGAACTTAAATCGTCCAGAAGTCAAAAGCTTTGAAGTCAAAAGTTTTGCAATCAGAGATTCGACAAGTCATCCCGTTTTGTCCATGTTATTTGACACACACCACGTCTGGGCCGCCTATGGTATAAACCATTAAGGATGGGACGTAATGGATTTATGGTTAGAACTTTTATTGACATTGCAAATTTAATTTTTTTTTCGGAAATATTCACATTATCGAAGCTTTTCGCGACGGTATTAAAATAAACGTCCAAAGGTTTCCAGTTTTCATGGCAATGAGCTTACAACTTCAGCTGTTCTGGACACATAAGAGATGTCTACAGTTAAAGATTAAAGAGCGTAGCCATATCGCTAACGAACTGTTGAAAATCATAAGATAGGACCTGAAAGCTTTCTTGGAGGACAAACAAGACCAGGGTATACCTATAACAAAGTATTCTAGGCATTTTCATCCGCAGGAGCAGCTCGTGACAATGTAAACGTTAGTCAAGAGAACATTGAATTTGCTTTACTAATGAACGTTTACTCATAAATTCTAAAATCTTGAATTCGAAATTTTGGAAAGCTAAAATCTTGCGGTCAGCACAAATCTTAAATTCAGGATATTGGAAAGCTAAAATATTAAAATCACCCAAAATGTTGAATTCAGGATTTTGGAAAGCTAAAACCTTTAAGTAAGCCAAAACCTTAGATTTAGGACTTTGGAAAGTTGAAATCTTGATGTCAGCAAAAATCTTGAATTCGGAATTTTGGAAAGCTAAAATCTTGAGGTCAGCAAAATTCTTAAATTCAGTATTTTCGAAAGCTAAAATGTTAAAATCACCCCAAATCGTGAATTCAGGATTTTGGAAGGCTAAAATCTCGAGGTCAGCCAAAATCTTGAATTCTGGATTTTTGAAAAATAAAAATCTTGAAGTCAGCCCAAGTATTGAATTCAGGAATTTGGAAAGCTTAAACCTTTAAGTCTGCCAAAATCTTGAACTCGAAATTTTGGAAAGCTAAAATCTTGAAGTCGGCGAAAATCATGAATTAAGCATTTTAAAAGGCCAAAATGTTAAAGTCAGCAAAAATCTTGAATTAAGGATTTTGGAAATCTAAGATCTTGAAGTCAACGAAAATTTTGACTTAAGCATTTTGAAAAGCCAAAATCATAAGGTCAGCGAAAATTTTGAATTAAGCATTTTGAAAAGCCAAAATCTTGAGGTCAGCGAAAAACTTGAATTCAGAATTTTGGAAAGCTAAAATGTTTAAGTCAGCCAAAATCTTGAGCTCAGGATTTGGAAAACTAAAATCTTGAAATGAGCCAAAGTCTTGACCTTAGGATTTTGGAAAGCTAACAACTTGAAGTCAGGATTTACGGAAATCTAAGATCTTGAAGTCAGCCAAAATCTTGAATTCAGGACTTGACAAAGCTAAAATCTTGAAGTTAGCCAAAATCTTGAATTCAGGATTTGACAAAGCTAAAATCTTGAAGTTAGCCAAAATCTTGTACTCAGGATTTTGGAAAGCGAAAATCTTGAAGGCAGCCAAAATCTTGAATTCAGGATTTTGAAAAGCTAAAATGTTAAAGTCAGCCAAAATGTTGAATTCAGGAGTTTGGAAAGCTAAAATCTTCAAGTGACCCAAAATCTTGAATTCAGAATTTTTTTAAGGTAAATTTCTTCAAGTCAGCCAAAATCTTGAATTCAGGATTTTGGAAAGCTAACATATTGAAGTCAGCGAAATCTTGATTTCAGGATTTTGGAAAGCCAAAATCTTGAATTCAGGGTTTTGGAAAGCTAAAATCTTGTGGGCAGCCAAAATCTTAAATTCACGATTTTTT